TCCATCCCCACAGGGCGAAGCCTCTCCGGTCCTTCTTTTCCTCTTACTTGAAGTCACTGCCGGGTGTGAGGAAAAAATTGCTTCGCTTGCCTGAAAAGCCAAATAAAGAGGAAAACTCGGAAGTTGTGTTTTGGAGAGAATTTGACAAGCAAGTGAACCCCCTGAGGGCAACCAAGTGCAGACTTAGAGGCTTGGCTCACGGGGATGGCCATGTGGGGACGCTCCATCCCCACAGGGCGAAGCCTCTCCGGTCCTTCTTTTCCTCTTACTTGAAGTCACTGCCAGGTGTGAGGAAAAAATTGCTTCGCTTGCCTGAAAAGCCAAATAAAGAGGAAAACTCGGAAGTCGTGTTTTGGAGAGAATTTGACAAGCAAGTGAACCCCCTGAGGGCAACCAAGTGCAGACTTAGAGGCTTGGCTCACGGGGATGGCCATGTGGGGACGGTCACCACACCGCCAGCTGGCGGAGACCTCCCTGCAGGCAGGGGGTCCCTGTGGGCAGGTTTGAACAAGGGGAATTTATGTGAAAGAGAAGGTGGTGCTTTGCCTGACTCTGTGGTGTCTCCCTTAGGTCAAAGCTGTACATGGCGGACCTGGAGTCGGGATTGCACTATCTGCTGCGGGTGGAGCTGGCGACCCACAGGTCCCTGGCCGGAGCAGAGCTGAAGACCCTCAGGGACTTTGTGACTCTTGTTGCCAAGGTGTGTGCTGGGCGCAGGACTCAGCTCTACATAGAGTAGGCACCAAGGAACATGTGTCTCCTGATGCAGGGGATTCGGCGACCTGAGCTAGCTGCCGTCCACCTTCCTCCCATCTGCGCCAGGCTGCACCTCAACTGTTTGGCCCCTGCGTCTCGAGTGCTGCTGGGCCTGCTGCTGTCCTGAGCACTGGGGCTGTGGAGCCTCTGCCTCCGTGTAGACGATGGACAGGAAGAGGCGCTGGGGCATGAGCTGTGCACTTCTTTGCGGGGCTTGGCTCTGGCTGCCTGGAGAGGGGACGGCAGGAGGCCCTGGACTGGACAGACTGAGGCTCAGTGGCTCTGGGGGGCTGGCTGATGGGTGGGGACATGAGGAAAGGCAGTGGGTGGTCCTGCTGGGAGAGGTGTATGCAGATCCGGATGGGTCCTGGGCTCACCCTGGGGACTGTTGTTACCACAGATGTGGGGTCTGAAATCACTGATGGGGTCACCAGGAGAGGGGCGAGACAGCCTGACAGAGCTCGGGCCCTGCTGGCCAGGGCTCGGGGTGAGGACCAGCCAGGGAGGTGGCCAGGCGAGGAGATCCTTCCAGGAGCAGGGCGTGCTGGCGAGGCCACGGGGTGCAGCAGGCGTGCCCTGCATGGCTTGGGCCAGGATATTGGGGGGACATGGCCTGGCCCGGCAGGAGGGGCTCCCGAGGGAGCTGGAGGAGCGGGGCTGCGGTGGCCAGGATGGTCAGCTCCTTCAAGTAGTCCAGGTCTAAATAGCAGGACTCAGGGCAGGGCTGGAGGGGCCCAGGGCTGGAGAGGGTCTGGGTGATTAGGGAGGGAGGACACAGCCTGCTGCAGGTGACACGGGCGAATGGCCGGGTAACAACTCCATAGGGAAGGACCACGTGGAGACGCTGCACCAGCACTCGAGGGCTGCTTCCTCCAGCAGCGGGTTGAAGCGGGCAGACGGCTTGTGTGTTAACCAGCATTTAGAGGGGACGGGCTGTTGGGGCTACCTTCCTGCCAAGAGCTCTTAGCGCCAGGGCTAAGAATCAATGGCTCATTGTCTGTTTCTGGATCCAGAACTTTGTGTCGGGCAGAGCAGTGGAGGCAGGTCTCCCACTTCCCAGGGGACACTTGAGTCCTTCTTCCAGGGGCTGTAGCACATCTGGCCTGGACTGTGGCCCTCCTGCTCTCTGACCCCTGGGACAGCCCAACCCCCAAGCTCACCCCACCTCTGTCCCTGCAGCTGGTCACAGGAGAAAGCATTTGGTGCAGTGGTCACAGCACATATTGCTGTGACCTAAATTACTTATTACTCTCTAAAAGATAAGGAAACTGAAAGTTTAAAGATTTTTCGTGCAAATGTCAGGTCCTGCTAGAATGATTTATATTCAATACCTTTGATAGAGTTTACTTATGTAGTATAGTTTTTGAAAACCAAGTAGAATGTTTGGAAGAGTGATGAGCGATGGGTTTTAGGTGAGTCAGCGGACCCTGGGCAGGCTCTTCACCCCGTCGTGCTGTTCAGAGCTCAGAGATCTCTAGCTGGCCTCGTTTCCTTTAAGGAAGTGTCCTGCTAATCTGTCCGTTGTATTACCGGCTAGTGCACCGAGCTGTTCCGCAGGTAGCACGTGGGAAATGTCCTCTCCTTAGAGCCATGGAAGGGCTTTCTCTCTTTGTGCTTCTTTTACTCTTACCCCTTGTTTCAGTCAGACGTAGCACTTGAGGTTTTGCACATGTGGTGGAGATAGCTCCCTAAGTCAAGATGATAGTAAATGATTCTTAATGATTTTTCTAAAGTTTACTTACCTGTCGAAAAATAAATTTAATGCTGTTGAGTTGGTGATGGTGCTTTGTAAGCTGTGTAGGCGGAAGCCCACACTGAGCTGCAGTGTGATGTTTCTGTTCTAGCTGTTTTAGCATCATAAGCAAGATTTTAGCTCAGGTGTTTAAGAGCTACTTTCCACAGTCTTCGTTTTGTTCACCTAATAAGGTGATGTCTAATTGAAGTTCATTATAAAAGGAAGACAGAGCCACTGGACTGTTCCAGCTAGATGCATCCGGGACTGTAGTGAGGCATCAGCTGCACGCAGGCTGCCAGCATCTCTGTGTCCCACGCTCCTTTTCTGAGAGTCATGGTCAGAGCTGCCTGGCCAGGGCAGGGGGTGGGGGCAGGACTGCGGGGCCAGCATATACTGTGCTGAGGAAGGGCCAGTGACTGACGGGTGGTGCTGTCAGAAGGGCCAGCAGCCCTTGACAGCTTGATAAGTCACACCGTTACTGGTATTCTGTCACTGTGAGGCAGCCACCTGGCACAGGTGGGCACAGGTGGCCAAGAGCAGGTGCTAGCCAGGACCCTGACCTCAGTGCTCGGTTCTTAGAGGGGCCCCCATTGTAAGTTAAAGCCCTGAATGGATTGAATCCCTTTCCCTGGGGACGCTGCACCAGCACTCGAGGGCCACATGGGGGGCGGGGCGTGTGTCGGTGGAGGGCTCCATGGGCTGACCACGTGCAGTGCAGCCCCCAGGCTGCTGCAGATCTCCTGCGGAGGCGCTGGGGCTGCGGTGGTGCTTTTCCCAAGCAGTCCCTCAGGGTGGTCCTTCCCTGCGCAGTTGTTCCCCGGCCGGCCGCCCGTCAGGAAGCTGCTGGAGATGCTTCAGGAGTGGCTGGCCAGCCTTCCCCTGGACAGGATCCCCTACGACGCCGTCCTCGACCTGGTCAACAACAAGATGCGGGTGAGCCCCAGGCCCCTTGCCAAAGCATGGCATGTCCCTTGCATGCCATGATTGTCCTCTGCGTAATGTGCTTTGTCCTTCCTGCCCTGAACACTGCTGGGAGAAACAGGAAAGCCACCTTTGCAGGTGGACAGGCTCCTCCTGGGCTTTGATGGCCCTGTCAGCACCTCTGCACCCCACAGCACAGGGTCCTGTTCCCTCTGTGATTTTACTGCTCCTGTTTCTGTGGCAATTCGGTCACTTCTCCCTCATCTGCCTGCTGTGCTGGCAGTGTCCTGCTGGAGACTTTGGTCTGGGGACAGTTCACCACATGTGCACTGTGACACCCTGTCCTATGGAGGGAACGGAGGTTTTCTCCAGCAGTGTAGCACTGGAGTGTTTTGTTTTTAATTTTAGTTAACTGGTGTATGTTTTCCTAAAATCTACTAAAAATGATGTCTTAAGTAAGCATCGTGGCCCTGCTGGAGCTGCCCCACGAGGCGAGGTGCCCACAGGTAAGGGTCTCCTGCCGCTGCCTCTGCAGTCCGGACCAGCAGCTCCTCCATGGCCCCAGAGAGTTTACTAACAAGACGTAAGCCCGTGTTCTGTTTGTCGAGACCTCCCCTTGGTCGGCACACTCGGTTGGCACACTAGCCTGCACATGGTGGGTTTTCCAGGCGCGCGTGCGCCACGATTTTGTGAGCCCCGTCCTTTGCTATTGGCACTTAGAGACTAACAGTGCTGGGCTTCTTGCCTGAATCTGCCTCCCACTTTTGCTCTGAGCTTGAGGCATAGGAGTGTCCTCCAGCGTCACAGTCCAGTGATGTGTGACAACTCCCGCTTGGGAGCGTGTCCTGGGCTCAGGAGCTGTTAGAAAGAGATGGGTGGTGGGAGCAGGAGGCTCTGGGCTGAGCTGGTTCGGCCTGGGCTCGCCGGCCCTGCTGTAGGCCGGCTGCTCGCTTCCAAAGTGAATGTATCTTATCTGTTCTGGCTAAGAATTGTTTGACAATTGAACTTTTTTTTGTTAGTAGCTATTTCTCTTAATACTTTCGTTATAACTAATTGTGACTAAAAATAAGGTGGATGTCTTATATGCTCAATATTGTGAATTTGTCAAGACAGATAAACCTGTCCCTTCTCCCCAAAGATTGGAAAGGACAGGCCACATTTCCATATTATGATAACTCCTTTAGTAAAATAGTTTTTTCTCTCAAGTTTTTATACCGAATTTAAATTTACATGTGGTGAAATGCACGGATCTTATGTGTACAGTTGATGAAGTTTGGATAGATGTGCACCCCTGCATAACCACCACCCCAATCAGGAGAGAGGTGTTATAAATACCAGGGTCAAGCGTTGGATCCCTCTACGGGCCAGCTGCCCCCCAAAAAGAAAAGATAGAGGGCATTCTCTATTTAAAATTTTTGCAATGATTTTTTTGGTGGCTTTTTTTTTTTTTTTTTTCAGATTTCTGGAATATTCCTTACTAGTCACATCAAGTGGGTTGGGTGTCAGGGAAGCCACCCTGAGTTGAGGGGCTACCCATGCTCTCTCTGGAAGTTGTTCCACACTCTGACTGTTGAAGCCTCGGCCCGTCCAGATGCACTGGTTGGCACAGGTAAGCTGCCCCACACAGGCCAGGGCAGTGGTCTGCCTAACGTGGCGCTCGTGCCGCCGCACGCCACATGCCATCAGATGCACACGCAAAGGTTTTGCTGTTTACACAGCAGTGCGTCATCGGGGTGTCCTGGGGTCCCACACTGGGGGTGCATCTTCTTGGAGTCTGCACACATGCACAATACACATGCCTGTGGGGCAGCAGAGCAAGTCCCCACTTAGCTGAACTCACAGGGCCGTACATGGCTGATCTGCAGGAAGGAGCCCCAGAGAAGGAGATGGTGCTGGCCAGGAATTTTTCTGCAGAGCAAACTCCCTTTTTTGCTTTGAAAATATATGAGACCGAGTGAAAACATTTGGAGGGCACGTTAGTTATCAACTGCTGCACAACAGTTTGCGCCGGAGCTTAGCAGCTTAACCCGCATTTGGCTTCTGTGGGTCAGGAATGCAGAGAGGTCCCCGTGCGTCCTCTGCGGAAGGGTGGATGAGGCTGCCGGGGCCTCCTCTGAGGCCCTGTGGGGTGATTGCTTCCCTGCTCCTCCTGGGGCTGGCGCAGGACGCAGTTCCTCGTCATGTGGCCTCTTCATGGGCAGCTCACATCACGGCCACTGGCTTTGTCAGAGCAAGCCAGCCGGAGGTACCACCGTGGAGTGACACCCATCACTTTTGCTGAGTTCTGCGCACTGGGCCCAGCCTCGTACAAGGGCAGGGGTTACACGAGGTGTGAGCTCAGGAGGTGGGAGCCGTGGGCCGTCTCTGAGGCTGCCTGCCACAAGGGGAGGTGGCCACATCAAAACTGTGTTTTCTGTCCTTCACAAGACCCCAAAACATGTGTTAGTTTTTATCCACACTGGACTTTGCTGTGTGTATCTTCCCAGTGTAAGCAGGCCCTGGCAGCATGGGGCGGTCGCTTGTGTTTTAGCTGTTGTTTTTTTCAATCACTCAGAATATTTGTGTTAAGTGGGAAGTAGAGTCTTCTGACTCGCGTAGCCCAGTATTCTTTCCAGTAAAATTACAATTTTTTTTCACAGCTGTCTTTTGCTACATACAAATAAACCCCAAATGCCGTGGCTAAGACAACCACCATTTTATTTGTGTACAAGTCTGTGGGTCAGCGATTTGGACTAGGCTCGGCCGGGCGGTTCTCCTGTTAGTGCTGCCTGGGCTTACGCATGTGGCTGTGGTCATCAGGTCCAGGACCCCCCCAGGCCAGCCCCAGCCTCCCCACCAGGTAACTCCAGGCTCAGGAAGGACCCTGAGGCCTCAGTGTGAAGTCACACAGCATCACTCCCATCGCGTCCTGTGGGTCCAGCCCAAATTTGTGGTGAAGGAAACAGATTCCACTGTTAATGGGGGAAGCAGCAAAGTTCCACCACAAAAGGGTGTGTGTGCAGGAGTGGGAGTTGCTGCAGCGGCCACCTTTGAATCTTCACTACCTCTGCTTCCCTCAAGGTGACATTGGCGTACTGTTACCTAAGGTCTGGTGGGGGAGGAGTGGGCTTTATCCTCAAACCATTTTAAGAAACGTGCAGAACAGGGAGTAACCTTTTTTTGGGAGAAAGCTTGGAAACTCTCCAAACAGAAATTGAAACCAGAACATCAGCACTGTCTGATTTCATGCAAGCCAGACCATTTTAAACCCACTTCTGCAACATGAGCCTGAGTTAGTGGAACCTCGTGTTTATGTGGAGAAGGTTCTGGTGAGAAAAGGCAGGTGGCATGGGCACTCCACACCCTATTCCATCTGCTCCTGTTATGTGCAAAGGCGTGCTCGAGCATGAGGCTTTGGACGAAGCATGGTGAGGGCCAGAAAGGAGGTTGTCCCCAGGATATTCCATATGAAAATACTGTAGAACTGGTCATGGCGTGGTGGGCTGTGGAGACAGCAGAGCAGAGCGCACGGCTGCACAGACTGGAGCCGCCTCTGAGGAGGACGTCTCCTGCCAAAAGAATTGGGTCAGACGAGACTGCGGGATTAAGTCTTGGAAGGTTTTTCTTCTCCTTATTGTATGTTTAAACCCCATCTACTAAAACGCCTGCCGAGTCCTCTAATCCTCCCCCACAGGTAGAGGTTTATGGTTCTTGTCCACTTTAGAGATTAGGGTGGCCTCGAGCATGCGGCTGTTGGGTGGGGAAGAGGAGGGGGGCTACCCGGTGGTGCGAGGCAGATGTCTGTGGAGATCCCGAAGAGGAGAGGAGGGCAACCAGGCTGGGTGGCAGGCCAGTGCCCGCGGTCTCACACTGGGTGCTGCCCGATGCCCCGGGCATGCTCAAAGCCAAGGAGGAGTTGGTGATATGCTTGCTTTTCACCTTCTCTGAGTGAAATAAATGAAGATTGTCAAGGTTAATGACAGACACAGACCTTAGGACAGGGCCTGGCATGACTGTCCTTTGCAGGCAGTGGCGTGGCAAGCTTCTGGCCTGTGCTGGCACGCAAGGAGGATCTCCCTCCTCGGATTCATTCTTAAAAGCATGTCTTTTTTTTTTCAAATTATTTTACTGCATTTCTTTTAGTGCTGACAGTTAATCTGTTTTAATCTCTTGGGTCTCTTCTGTGTACGTTCAATCCCCTGCCCGGTCTGAGCAGCGCTGCTGGGCTCAGCCCCGCACTCGCCCCTTTGGCATTCTTGGGACTCTTAGCGTGATTCTGGCTGCTTTCTCTGCTTGTGCGATGGTGGTTACTTCTTAAAATATTGTGTTATTCATTCACGTTGTCTTTACTTAGATATGCCCTTGTCCTGTGAGTGCCTGTGTTTACATACAGTGGCATAAACTCTGTATGGCTTGTAGATGTGGGTGTTACCTCTTAAAACAACCACCATCTCTCTAGATGGTGGAGCCTTTTTAAGAAGGGAGGAGGCCCTGACCGGTCTGCTGCCCTTTTGCCCCCATGCAGAGCCCGGGCAGCTGACCTTTCTGTAACTGTCACTGACCATCTGTGTCACGTGGTGGGTGGCGAGCTAAGAGTCACTGAGGTCACACTCACACTTGGGCTGTGCTTTGCAAGGATTTCAGAGCACAGTTAACTACAAATTCACAGTGAGCTGCTGTCCTTGTCCCCAACACCAGCCTTGGGAGTTGCTTATAAGGCAAGAGAGATTGCAGACGGGTGGCAGATCCCAAGGAAAGTCCCTTGCTTTGGTGTGAAGCTGCCCTTTGGGTCATCAGGCCAAGGGCAAAGATAGCCAGAGCCTGGTGGAGAGGTAGGAGCACAGCCCTTCTAAGGGCTTGGTGACATCCTGGCATCTCGTGGCTCGTTGTCCTTGGAGCTGGGTGTCGGACTTGGCACTGACGTGTCTGCTTTCTGGTATGTGCTTGATGCTATGTCATGACAGCCCATGGGCACCTTCTGGTTACATCAGGTGTCTGGGGAAACGCTGGCTCCTGGTGCATGCATAGTCTCCCACCGCTGGCCCGTTAGGTGTCGGGCACACAGCCTGCTCCCCACTCCTGGAGGCCACTGTGAGCTCTGTGGTCTGCTTGTGCTTGGTGACTCTCCTGCCCATAGAGCCAGCGGTATTTCTTCCCCCTGCAGGTTTTGAAGACGACCCCCAAGCCGTGCTGCAGACCATGAGGAGGTACATTCACACCTTCTTTGGGTGTAAAGAATGTGGTGAGCACTTTGAAGACATGGCTAAAGAATCCATGGATTCGGTGAAAACCCCAGACCAAGCAATTCTCTGGCTTTGGAAGAAGCATAACACAGTAAACAGCCGCCTGGCAGGTGAGAAAAACCACCTAAGTGCCCCTGGCCCTTTAGAATGGATGGCCTTGATCCTGGCTGTGGAGGGGTCATTGCAGTGTGAGCGGGGCTGTGGTGGGCCAGTCAGTGTGGCCTGGAGACTGCGAGGACGGCTCGGCACTGGTCGCCCCGAGCCTTGCCGCCTGCCGTGCGCAGGGAGGGCTCTTGGCCTGGGGAGGGCCGACGTGATCAGAGCTTGGTGGCTGCAGCAGCCTTGGCAAGGAGCCAGAGTCCCTGACTTCCAGAGCTTTCTCTCATCTTGGGGGCTCTTGGGTCCTCAGGGAAATTGATGTGGCTCTTTCTTCCCTTGTCATACCTCTGGTAGCCTGCTAGGCCCCTCCAGGAAACTTGATAGTGGAAAACTTAGAATGTAATTAATTTTTGGTAAGGAATTTTAACGTTAAAATCTGTTCTCATGGGCCAGCCAGTTAGCTTACTTGGTTAGACCATGGTGCTGATAACACCGGTGTCACGGGTTCAGAAGATCCCTGTGCCGGCCTGCCACCAAAAAAGAAAAAGAAATCTTCTCAAGCTGTAAACCAAACCTCTCAAAGTGGTTTTGTTTAAAAAAACTAAATAGGGCACATGTATTTTCTCAGAGTTAAGTAATTCAAACTATAAACTATTCCTAAATCAATGGCAGATTAAAATTAGGCTTAAAAATAATTCCACCGAGAAATAAATCTTAATAGAGATGAACAGAAAATGCTACTAAACTGTTGGTTTTTATTTAATCCGCTGTATTATAAAAACATACTACAACCAAAGCACTAAAGAAAATTGGTTTTTCTTTGCACATAGAGCTGGCTGCTGTGCCTTGGGCCATGTGGCCACAGGCACCTTTTGTGTTTGCTGGGATTTGTTCTGTCACCGTCAGCTGCAGTGTAAGGTGCTTCGGCTGTGGCCCTAATACAAGGATTTTCCCTCCTTCCCTTCCCTCCCTCCCACCCTCCTCACAGGGGTCTGTGTGCTTATCCCAGAGCTCCCAGCTCTGAAGCAGCCAGACCCAGACCCCAGCCAATCCTGCCCTGTCCAGGAGCCCCTGCCTCAGCCCCTGACCTCAGCCTGCGTGTGCCCTGCCTCAGCAGGCCGCAACAGAAAGGGACTGTGTTGGTGCCGCTGCTCAGATTCCTTAGGTCCCCCTAGCCCCACCACACCTCCAGCCTGTGGATCAAGACACATGCTCCTTGGAGGCCCCTCAGAGAGCTGACCCAGGTCTCCTGTCCAGTGTCGCTCCTGGCTTCTCAGTCTCACACAAGGACTCTCCGACGGCCCTTGGTTGGTCTTCGTGTGTTTGTGCCCACATCTTCTGCAGACAGCCTCCTGAAGGGCACAGCCTGGCCACCGCTGGGCTGTGCACTATCCCCTCCTGGTCCACATGCAGCACATGCGTGTAGTGAGCAGACAGCCGTGCAGCCGTGAGGGGCCAGAGTGGAGCATCTCTGTGGAGTGGTTTTCTTTGCATCTGCTTCTGGGAGCACTCGGGCTTGCGAGGCATCAGCAGGTCAGGCGAGGGTCCCGAGTGCTGGGCAGCAACATATGCTGCAGCTCTCTGTACAAGGAGGGCCTGTTTGGTCCTGGCGTGGGGTTAGCAGAGGGATCCTGAGCTGGATGGTGAAGTGGGTTGTCCACATCTGCATGCGGATGTTTGCTGACCTCCGTGGGGGGCCAGGTGCCTCCCCTTAGTGGTGCTTCATCAGTGTTTACTAATCAAAGAAATGAATGAGGGGCAGAGTGGCAGGATTCAGGAGGCAGGAGTCCAGCCCCCTGCGGTAGTGACGGCAGTGATCGCTGAACTATCTTTTGAAGGGTGGTGGAGTAGTAGGTATCAAAAGCCCTAAACATGTGGGCACTCTCTGAATCAGATTCCACTTCCAGAAGTCATCAGGCGAGTGTGCAAAGTTGTGTGTGCAAGGATGTCCTGGCAGGATTGTTCACGTGGCCGTCCCCAGGGGCTGGTCAGATAAACAAGGAAACGCGTGCTGAGGGGCTGTGCAGGCGGCAGGAGCGCCAGGGCACATTGATAGCTGTGAGCTCCAGGCCGCGGCTAACATGTGGGCACTCTCTGAATCAGATTCCACTTCCAGAAGTCATCAGGCGAGTGTGCAAAGTGGTGTGTGCAAGGATGTCCTGGCAGGATTGTTCACGTGGCCGTCCACAGGGGCTGGTCAGATAAACAAGGAAACGCGTGCTGAGGGGCTGTGCAGGCGGCAGGAGCGCCGGGGCACATTGATAGCTGTGAGCTCCGGGCCGCGGCTGGACCCGGGCACAGCAGCACGTGGGCACAGCAGCACGTGGTGTGGCCTCTCCTGACGAGAGACCCGTGTGTGTCTGTGTTGAAGATGATCTTTGCTCACCCTTCTGCACATCACTAGTTCTTAGTTTTTCCAACAGTGAGCGTGTGTCACTCCTGAAATCTGTTTTGGGGATCCTGAAGGGATTTTTAGGGTCCAGGAAGGGCCAGTGTGCCTGAGAAGTGATGGGAACACAAAGACAGTGAGTGTCAGACGTGTGTCACTCCTGAAATCTGTTTTGGGGATCCTGAAGGGATTTTTAGGGTCCAGGAAGGGTCAGTGTGCCTGAGAAGCGATGGGAACACAAAGACAGTGAGTGTCAGGCAGGGGTGCCCTGGCAGCCAGCGTGGCCGGGGCCAGGGAAAGGGCAGACAGGTTCTGCGGGGGCAGCAGCACAGTGGGGAGAGCTCTGTGCAGCCTGGTTTGGAAGTGCAGTGACTGGGTGGACTGGAGCAGGTGTGGTTGGGCGAGTGGCGGTGGGGCTGAGTGTGGACAGTCTCTTCTTTGCTTGCAGGCTCAGGGAAGAGGACACCGGCGGGCGGCTGTGGGAAGAGAGCTGGGAGGGGCAGGAGGAGGGGTCATGTCATTGATGGCCCTTTCTCCACACGCTCTTCCTTTTCTCCCAGGCCATCTGAGTGAGGATCCCAAATTTCCAAAGGTTCCGTGGCCCACTCCAGACCTCTGCCCGGCCTGCCACGAGGAAATCAAGGGCCTGGACAGCTGGAACGAGGGCCATGTGCTCACCTTCTTGAAGCAGCACTACGGCCGCAGCAACCTCCTAGACACATATTCTGCGGGCCCGGGAGATTCTGGGGAAGGAGGGGCTCTGGCCAGGGGGGATGAGGAGGGGAAGGGGCTCACTCCCCTGGGGAACGCCCCTGGAGACCAGGACACCCAGAGTCTTCGTCCTCCCAGCGGGCCAGGCCCCAGACCCCACGTTGCAGAGAGCTTGCTTCACAGACTAGACATAAAACTCCGGAGTCCGCACGGGTCTGGGGCCCACAAGGAGGCCGAGGCGGCTGTGCCTTTCCTCGGGGTCGGCTTCTCCAGCCTGGACATGAGCCTCTGTGTCGTGCTCTATGTGGCCTCATCCTTGTTCCTGATGGTGATGTGCTTCTTCTTCCGAGTGAGGTCCAAGCGATGGAAGGTCAAGCTCCAACCGCCCGTGTAGCACGCCTCGTGGTGCGGCGGGACAGGACAGCGGCCCCCACGTGCCGCCACAGCGCTAATGGTTATGATCAGGGATTCTGTAAACATGTCGGGCCTGGTTTCACATCGCGTTTCCCAAGTCCTCGTTGTCCAAACACCCTTTCCACGAGGGAAGACACTGGGTGTTTTGTCGTGGCAATATTTGCATTCCTGGCATATGCAGTCTGCTCCCTTTACAGATCCTACAGCAAAAAGATTTCTGTAGTTTTACTCTTTTAGATCTAAAAAAAGAGGGTGGGGAGTTGAGGCCGAAAGAGCACAGTGCTCCCCACACGCGTTCATCTCACAAGACTGCGTGTCTCATTCCGCAAGGCCTTGTGTTTGTATTTGGAGAAAAACCCACCCCCACCCCCACCCCGGGAGGCTGCCGAGCATTTTAATTTGGCCACGTGGTGATGCAGAGTGAGCCGGAAGCACAGTTGGCGTTTCCAGATGCCTTGCTGTCCCCAGCTGCCCAGGAAGTGGGCTGGACTCTCGGCAGTCTGTCTGTTGCTTTGTGGCTGTCTGGTTGTCCTGCTGAAGCAAGAGAGCTCAGACCCAGAGAAGGAAGGGTTTCCTTGTTGTCTGCACGCTCTGCAGTGGTTCTCACTTCACACGTGGAGATCTGAACGTGCAGGGCCAGGAAGAGCCAGCAAGCTTCTGGCAGAGTTGCTGCCTTCCAAGAAAATCCCCAGAGGCCACATGGAGGAGCCATGGGGTGAAGGTGCAGGACGGCCCATTCTGTCCTCAGAGGCAGTGCCTTTGTTTGTTTGTTTGTTTGTTAATCTGTTGACAAAAGAGATTTAAGTAGATGAGGGCCATCCAATCCGCCTGTCCAGGTGGGCAGCTCTGGGCCAAGGTGTGATGCTGGGAGCACATGCCCCCTGGTGCGAGGGGAGGGGAGGGTTGGCCTGCCCTTGAGGGGTGCAGTCCCCAGGGAGACCTGGGTGAGCCCTGTGTCGTCTGTGTTCTCCATCACCTAGCAGCAGATGAGGCACCCACAGGTCCTGCTGTTGAGCTTGGCAGAGGTTAAGGGTGGGAGGTCACAGCATCCCTCAGAGTGTTTTGTGGTGGCCAGTACCATGAGCTGTTTTGAGAAGGGTCCCCACATGGGCACTGGGCTCCCAGACTTTGGTAATTATTTATTTTTTTACCATTTAGTAATTTAAATCCATTGTAAATCCCAGAACACTTTTGATAAATTTGCCTCTGAAGACTGAACAAAACAAACGTGCTACTTCTGGGACGTTTGTATTAAGACCCTTTGTGGCTCCTGGCTTGCCTCATGAGCTGCTTTTTACTTGGACAGACAGGTTCAGGTGTATTTGCCCATCTGCGTGTGTGTGTCTGTGTCTGTGTCTGTCTGTCTGTGATAGTTGTAAATACTTTTTCCACTTTGTCTATTTTATATTTTATACTCATGTGTTTCCTAGTTACAGTTGATCACGTGGGTGTATTTATAAGACCACTGTAATACTGATGTTACTGTTGCAGCTTGAGAAGAAGTCGACAGCTGATCCCTTGAACAGCTGTCATGAGCGTGGCTGTCCGCATTGGGTGGAAGGATCGGGTTGGGGAAGGTTGAGGACAGTTGCCGGCTGGGGAGAGGAAGTGGCCGGACGCCTTGGGCTGCTGCTTCTCTCTTCTGCCGCGAGAGGTTTCTCCTTTGACGCTTCTTAGTCACTAGAAGCCTCTGTGTTTTACCAAACTTGAGCTTGTCTTCGTAGCTGGTTGTATGCGTGGGTTATGATAGACACTGTATTCTTTCTCTTTCGGCTTGAAAACCAGCAGGTTTACACATTGGGTTCAAAGGAGGTACTTCGAACCCTTAATTAAACTGCCTTTGGTTCCTGTCGGATGCCTTTTTTCCCCTAAAGCAAGTTTCTTTACCTGGTGTGAACTGCGATGCCCTTGGAGCACACCACTGTGTGTTTTAACCTTTACAAAAGCCATCTGGGGCAGTGCTAGCTTTCAGGTTTAGTTGTCATATTGCAGTTTGAGGTCACCACTATCTGGGGGACAGGAGTGTGACTTCCTGAGGGCAGGAGCAGAGCATCAGCAGCCACATTTGGAGCCGGCATGGAGGAGGAGGGGATGTGCCAAGGTGGCGACAGGGATTGTCTGGTGACTTCCTGAGGGCAGGAGCAGAGCATCAGCAGCCACATTTGGAGCCGGCATGGAGGAGGGGATGTGCCAAGGTGGCGACAGGGATTGTCTGAGTGCCAGTGAGACCACAGTCTGGCCCGTCACTGGGCCTGCTCAGAACTGCACACCACCGTTAGGCAAGGTTTACGACCTATTTTATGAAGTTGTAAGTATTATAAGAGGTATTGAGACTAACGAATATGATAGTTCAGTAATTTAAATGTTTATTTATTTTTAATGGAAGCATTTTGATTAAAAAGAATCTAATTGACATGGAAATGCTGATGAAATTTCTTACCTGCAAGGAAAATGAACATTTTGTATTTAAGTAAACTACAATGTGCACATTTTAAAAGAATAAAGAAATCTGACATTTGAAAAAATTG